CCTGCTCCACTGGTGACGGCGTCCGAGGATGGGGCTCGGCGCTGGCTGCGGGAGCGGGCGGGCAGCCCTCGCACCGCACCGCAGCCTCGGGTCAGCTCTCGGGGAGGCTGGAGCTGCTCCTGGTTTAGCGATCCGGAGAAAAGCCTGGCCCAGCTTGCGCAGGAGTGGCTCAGGGCTGGTTAGAGCAACAGGCACCGACCCAGCCCCTGCTGTTTGCAGCTCCTTGGGTGTTTTGGGGCACTTGTCACCGCACTAGAAATACTCCTGGGTGAGATACAGCACAAGCCCATCCTGCCCTGCAAGCCTCATGCCAAGGGGCACCCAACAACCTGCTGCTGGCCTGGAATTGCTGTGAAACATCAAGAAGGGACCCCAGGGTGCTGCACAGAGCTGTGCTGTGTCTCTTACCATGGCATCAGGCGCCCAAAGCGGGTCCATGAGGTTTTACTGATGAAGAAGCCCACCATGGGGTCCGTGATGGCATCCCAGGCTCGCCCCACAAACAGGATGATGGAGGCATAGAAAGGGTCCAGCTACAAGAGGGAGAACTCGCATTAGGGCAGGCAATACTACCTCAAGCCCCTGGCTATCCTTGCTGAACACCAAAACCTTTGCAACTGTACTGTGACTGCATCTTTGTCACCAGCTGGGAGCAGGGGACAGGTCCCTTGGCCTCTCCCCCATCATTCAACAGCCTCTGGGGCATACCCAAACTCTCCCGGGTTGCCTCCTGCTCCACAGTGCTTTTTTGACAGAAAGCTCCTACAGCCTCAGAGCAAACTTCCCCAAGACACCCCACGCAGCTGGCACGAGGGTGCCCCGCGGCTCCTTCCCCTCCTGCCTGCAGACAGCGGCTGCAGGGCTGCTCGCACTGACTCCAGGAGCGCTGCCGGGCTTTGTGGGACAGGTCCTGTCATCCCAGGGGATGGACAGTATCATCCTGTTTTATAGCCTGGGGAAACTAAGGCACCAGGCAGCCACATGACTTTGCACAAGGCCACGCAGCGAAAGCAGCAGGGCTGGGAACACTGGGTGGAATTTGGCTGATCAAAGCCCACAAACCTCAGAGCAAAGCCACGTGGAGATGTGGCTCCAGCGTGACAGATTCCTCTCTATTTCCCCGAGGAAAAGCTATCAAGGGGGAACCGATCCCAGGGGAAGACTTGCACCTCACGAATTCAGACATGGGGCCACCGAGGGCTCGTTGCTCCTGCTTACCCCGCGGCGCTCGCACGCTTGCTCACCTAGGGAGCTGCTCTCGTCCCTGGGTGTGCTGGAGGGTGCGGTGGTGGCAAACTTTACGTGTTCCAGTTTGCCAAGCAAACACAGCACCTGCATGCTTCTATCCGTCCCAGAGCCCTGTTGGGTGACTCCTGCCAGGCAGCCCCGCAGCCCTCCCGGGAGCCCTCGGGGACCCGCTGCGGGCGGCATCTCTCCAGCTGCTCCCTCCCTCGCGCTAAGTTTTTAAGGCTCGCCGTGTATAACTCGAGCGGCCTACACCCCAGCCTTCCTGGCCAGCACCCCCTCCAGCGAGGGCCCAGCACCTCGGCCCCGGAAGAGCCCTTCGGGCCAAGGAGATGGCCAAGGGCACCGAGCAGCAGCACATGGCACCACAGCTGGTGACAGCGGAAAGCCACCCGCGGCCCGGCGCCCTGCCCGCGG